CGCGAGAGAGAGAGCCGCGGATCTAGCGGGTGAGGACCGAGAAAAGGATGAGCCCGTCTCGGATCCCTCCGCTAAATCCACCCGCGATCCCCACGACAACAGTCTGTGCTGTGCCTCGGCAACAGTGGGACCGCTGCCAGCGGGATCGCGAGCCTGGCCGCTCTCATCAAACGCAGCCAGGCGAGAGCGGAGCGTGCGCAGCGAGAGCTCGCAGTGATGACAATCAGCTGCTCGAAGCTGACCGTGCATGCTTCGCTCCTAAACAAACGACACACAAATCGTGTGTATCCCCCGCCGCCAGATATCGTGGGTAGGGAGAAACACAGCGTTTGTAATGCCGTTCGCTCGCCATAGCTTTCTCATTGTTTTATATATATGAGTGCTTGTGCGGACAGACAACAGTAAATAGACAGACACATACACAGAGCACTACTGAAGGGCAGAAGCTGGTTTGCGCCCGGCCGGATGTGCTTTTATGCTTTCTGGTGCTTACGTCACCCTGCTCGTGACGTCTCGCTGCTCCATTGGACGGATTTGACACGTGCTTCAGAACGCGGTCACGCAAGGGCGTTCCCAAAGTGACTCGACGCAGCTCGAGTTCCTGAAGGGGAACACACAGTGGTATAACGTGCACACTCACGCCCTAAAGAGAGCAGCCCAGAAAATGGAGCACAGCTGGATGAAAACAAAACTAAAGGTATTTCGTATTGCACAGAGAGAAAGTACTTCTACCTAAAGAAAAACTTTAAATACTGCTTTAAAGCTTTAAAATCTTCTCTTTTAGAAGAAAACAAACACAACCCCAGGAATTACTTGGTGGTTATACCAACTGAGATTTTATGAGAATTTCTTGTTGGGGGAAAAAAAAAGCATGAAACTAACATAAATTCAATGATCACATTACTAAAAACTTGCATCATGCATTTTAAAGCTTTTTATTTTTTTTAAGATTTTTCCTTTGTCATTAACCCAAATACAAAAAAATTTACTTCAAATAAAAGTTTTATGACACAATGTGTTATGTGTAGCTGAAAAGAAACAGCGAGACTGAGAGATAAGATGTAAATTGATCTCTGCTAGACTGTCTGTCTGCTCTTCACACAGACATTTTCTCAAGGGACTGCTGAGAGAATCAAAGACAAAGACCTCGAGGGAAACTCACTAGTAAACAGTCTACACAAAGACAAAAGCATCAGGCCTGAGGGTTTTACTGTTTATAAAAATACAAGTATGTTTATTAGTGAAAATCAGTGTTTCAACTTCTGACTGATAACTGGAATGTTTCAGACCTATTGTGTTCTATATAAGAAACAGTTTCTCCAAAAAAAGTAACATTTGGTTATTATTTACTCATGTTGAAAACCTGCATGACTTTCTTTCTTCTGTAGAACACAAAAAGAGAATGGATAATGTACTGGTTGCTTTTTTCCATGCAATTACAATGAATGAGGCACATTCAAGCTTGAAAAACAAACATAATCTTAATCTGGCTTCTTTTGGAACTATTTTATCTAGTCTTTGTGTCATAATATGGAAGTCAGTCAATATTAACTTTTAACTCAACTATTAACTATTAACTCAATTCATGAT